CCATTTATTAATACATATTTTATAGGGATGTGAAAAAGTTTTTGGGAGAGATCTAAAATGCGATTTTTGCTAATTGTTTTAATGGATAAATTGCTCATATGTATTCTAGATTAGCACCTAGGTGGATAAAACCTGATGAGATAATATCTTTTGGTGTTATCTAGAACTTTTTGAGGTTGTGGAACCTGAGCTAATAGACAGAATTCTCTTGATCTTAACTCTATCATTTATGGGCTTGACCCTCTCCTTATGGTTAGTTAAAGCAGATAGGGAGAAAGCAGGCAGATGAGTTCAGGCAAACCTGCTTTGGTTTCATTATTAACAGATGAGCACAGTGCAGAACAAGTTCACCATGCAATAAATACTAAGAAGATTAACAAGTAGTGCGCTATACCTATTGTCCTCAGTGGGAAGGTGACGGGGCAACAGTTAGTCTGTTGAAGAACTATGGAATAAATGGTTCATTTAAATATTTGGCAATCGGAGTTCACTGAAACTCCTTCGATTGCTTTCAAGAATGATTCATGGCAGGACAGGAGTGAAGAAAGTATGGCCACCTTCTATAGACTCTAAATTGTGTAGGTGTTTTTATAGTGTTATCCATAATATCTGGACCTGCCTATGAAGACTGGGGGCAAAGACATTTTGTAGCCGTTCTGCTGTTTCCTGAATGAGACCAGTTTAGTAGTTGTGAGAGGAGGGAGAGGTAAGGCCTACAGGTTTTCCATTATTATGTGCTCTAAATTTGGTCCTCTCCCCAAAACATGTTTAACAATCATATAAAACCAATGGGAAAGGTCATCCAATGTAAGATACCATCAGTATGAATGTTTGTTGAAAGATACAAAAGATAAACTGAAAGAAACTATGAAAGACTAAAAAGGAAAAAAAACTGAACCAAGAAATACTAATAGGAGAAAAAGGACACACACACACCCTTTTAAAAAAGAAACCACACAAATGAAATAATAGCAATACCAAAGCATAAGATATAAATTAGTGGTATTATGCATCCCTTTGGAGAGCAACTTCACAGTTTGGAGATCCTCTAACACAGGGATGCCAAACTTGTGGCTCGCAAGTCAGATGCATCATGTGCTGGCCGCGCCCATGCCCAGTTTAGGGAAGGAAAAAAAGTCACTATACGTCACATGATGCCACCATGATGATGCAAGTTTGAGACCCCTGCTCTTAACACATGACCTTGAAGATGGAAGCTATGACCAGTAGGGCCTGTGCCCAAATTCAGCTATGCATCCTCTACAATAGGGGGCACTTAACAATTTGTTCATGTCACTTCACATATAGCTTACTATGATTTTCAAAATGAAACTTCAAATACTACAAATTGTAGAGTCCCATCTGCTTATGAGATAGACTTGTTATTACCTTGTAACTAAATAATTTTGATAGAAGAGTTGCTCTAGCTTGTGGTTTGTTTCTGAAGGTAGCTATGAATGACTTAGGGCAGTTAACTAGGGAATCTACAAGATCTCATATTTCAAACTGATTCTATTCACCTAACCTGAATGAACAGAGAGTGCCTACTAAAGCTTCCACCTACCAAGAAGTAAGGCAGCCAAGATATTCTCTTTGACAGTTTTCAGCTTTGCCCCCTGAGATAAGGGTAACTCCCATCCTCATTGCCTTCCAGAGATTAGCTGTTCTGGAAGTCCATGGGGACTTGGGGAATAGTTATTAATGACCGATGTACTATATAAAGTTAAAAATGATGTAACATAATGTAATATAGTTTCAGATTATTGAGTTTATGGATCCTATTGAATTGGCTTTTTGTTGCCTTTTGAAGAGTCTTTTAAAAATTGAAGGAATTCCATAAATTGATAGATAAATATAGAAATAACATTATAATAACATTTGAATTTTTAAACAAATGCCAGACATAGCAAGTGGTTCAGGGGCATTCCATAAATCTGCATAATTTATAGTTCATTTGAAAAAGACATCTTTAATTTTGTTTTTGTAAGAATCATTTATGTAATATATTTTAACTGAAAGCAGGAAGCTAGGAACAATAAACAATTTAATAAGGCGCTGTGGGAGTTTCTCAGTATAAGGCTTATTAAAGGTAGAGCCTTAAGTGATCAGAAGATGATTCAAAAGATTTCACTATGTTGGCTATGTGTATTTTGCCAAAACAGAAAAAGGAGTGTCCAACTCAAAAAATTGTGACAGAAGTCACAGATTTGCTCATGAGTTTGAGTATGCAGGTAGGTAGATAAGATGTAGAAAAAAGAGACATAAATCCACACGAACACACACTATTTATTTATTTATTTGATTTGTCAATCGCTTACAAAATAAAAAGTATAAGGATAAACATAGTTATGAATACATGAAATAAATACATATAAGAAAAATAAAAGAAACAATAGGACAGGGACGGTAGGCATGTTGGTGCGCTTATGCACGCCCCCTACAGACATCTTAGGAAAGGGGTGAGGACAATAGTAGAAAGTCTAAGGTTAAAAGTTGTTGGGGTTTGGGGAAGAAACCACAGAGTCAGGTAGAGTATTCCAGACATTGACCACTCTGTTGCTGAAGTCGTATTTCCTGCAATCAAGTTTGGTGCAGTTAACCTTGAGTTTGTATCTATTGTGTGCTCTTGTTATGGTTGAAGCTGAAGTATTCATTGACAGGTAGGACATTGCAATGTATGATTTTATATACTATACTTAGATTGGACTGAAGATGGTCCGATCTAAGTATAGCACATAAAATCTGCAACACCACACCACACCATGACCTGACGAACAGATGTATTGTGAAACGCCTTAAGTTTGCCCTCCAAATGTTATTTTTTGATGAGGAATTTCTTTACTCTCCAGTCTTATATTTCAATCAGACTAGAAAGTAGCCAGAGTATTATTCTCTGAAAAATAGGACAATGGTTGTTCTAATATTTACAGAAGGTCATATGTATTCAGCATAAGACTGAGAAATCCAAGATGATACTTCTCTTCCTTTTTTTTTTTTGCAATTCTGCTTATTTTTTTCTCTACCAACCTAATCACTGAATATATTAACATATTTGAAAAATAGATATATACTGTATATATTGTTTTCCAAAACCTGTTTTGAATTCCCAATGGAATACTCTTGATGTGTTTCCATGGCACTGATGCATGATTCACTATGGTTACCATAGCAATAAAATGTACAGTATCCTTTAGGGATATGAAAAACTATTTTTAACGCAACCAATATGATTGCTTTAAAGATTTATTTTATCTCTTAATTAAAATTATTGTACAAGACTGAATTTGTATATGTATCCAGAACTGAGAATCGGAACAGAAAAGAAAAGCAGAATGTTTTATTAATTTTTCCTGTGTGTTATTCGATTAACAAGAAAAATGGAAGGATTAATAATATCAAATCAGTACTAACTGAAATCCAAAATTTTCCGTGTAAATGTTGTCTCAGGTGCTCCTTAGATGTTGATTTTCTACTTAGTTCCTTATATTGTATAGTTGTATGCTTTTATAATCATGGGAAAGATAGCTGAGAGGAAGTGCCTGATAAAATAAGTGATCCCCAAAGACTTTTCTCAAACATACAGTGGAAAATATTTGCATAGATTCTAAAGACCTAAAGCTACTGAGATCATGACCATACAAAATATAAAATAGCAGCAGAACCAACTCATTCCTTAAGGCTACAATCCTAGGGAGAAAGTGACACTCAGCACAGAGGAATTAACCTCTTTCAAATAAAATGATTCTGTTAGTAGTCTTTGATCAGAAGTCCTTAAAACTGCACTATATTAATCAAAATATTTCTAGATTATGTTGAAGCTGTTGCAAACAGACAGTACATATTACCATCTAGAGGCAATGGTTATTGGATTACTTATATTACGATTGTGGTGACCATATTCCTCGCCCTCTCTCCTGAAATAATAATGGTGAAATATAAGAAATTGATGTAATTTAGCCACGAGATTTACTATAGCAAAGCATTTAAAAAAAAAAAAAACCAGAGTCCAATGTATATCAAGATGAAAAAAGGTTGTAAAGACTTTCAAATGTGGTCTAGAATTTATGGTACTATGAGAGAATGGATTGCTACAAGATTTAACTGTCACTTCTTTTGTGGTTTTTCTTGAAACTGTGATTGCTGAAAATTTGTAAAATAGTAGAAATTTATGTAGAAATTACACAAATATGAAACTTACCAACTTTTCCCTCTGAGGTTGGTGGAGGGGGGGGGGCAATTATTTTGCATTGTTGCCTAATCAACTGCAGCCTTTTCCCTTTTCTAAAATGTCATGCAATACCTAGCCACTTTCATATTTTTATTTTAATCTTGGCCTTTCATGCGATCAATGTTTTATTTCTTTCCTCTCCTGCTTAGTTCCGTCTAGACTTTTCTCCAGTTTATGAGTCCTCTCTCATAAAGGGAAGGAAATGGTGCTGCTATCCTTCAGTGCAGTGAACCAATATTAGCGTAATGTAGGGATGAAGATGCTGGACTTGGAGAGACCACACATCAAGTCCCTATTTAGACATATTACTTGCAGAGTGAATGTGAGCCCTGACTACTTCAGCCTAACATGTCATCACAGATTACTGTTATGCAGATAAAATAAAACCCCAATTTCCACCACCTTGAGTTTTCAGAGAAAATGCAATGATTTAATTTAATAAGCAATCTATCCATCGTTTGGTTCTCTCCCAAAAACATGCTCTTGTTTTTAATTTCATGGAAGTGTGTTTTCATCAGATTGTTATTCTGTACATGAGTGTAACAGGTTGCTGAGAACCAGGATGGGTAATTTAGATGCAGGCAGTCCCTTGGGAAAGCATTAACAAACCCATGCAAGCAAGATACTGGCTGTATACTCTCTTTGTTCCAGGATCAATGTATACCTGTATACAAAGGAAAAAAGCAGTGAATGTTTTCCTTTATATCCTAATAACTGTATGTAATACTACCAGCTCTTTTGTTGTCAGAGAACGGAGACAAATTAAAGAATGATGAGGGACTCCTTTATTTTATTGACTAAAGTCTTAGTAACTATTGTTTTCATGCTGTACAACACTTCAGCAGAGAGCGCAAGCAACACCTTTACAGGTGAGTCACCATGGATTTAATATTTCAAATACTTTGGTGTCAATGACTATACTTTCAAAATGATATTTTGTAAAAGAGATGTGAACATCTTTTGTCTCACATTCTTTCCCCTCTCTGAACTTGGTGAGACTTCGTTTCATTTAAATTTGTATAGAATTTTAGGTGAACTATGTAAACCTTGGAGAAGATTGTCTTTAATGCTGCTGAAACATCTGTATATATCTTTTAGGAATCCCCCTTTTCTTTTAGCTAGGGGACATAGGTATTCTCACAAAATGGCTGCCAAGATGAGTATTCCAGTTACCAATCACCAGTTTAACCAGAGTCAAACTGCTAAGCTTACTCTCAGCTATCTCTTTTAGCCTTCCAATGACCATTTAACACATCTTTTTGTTTTGTTTTGTTTTGTTTGCTGGGTTGGTGGACATGCTTTCAAACCAGGCATTAAGCTATACTTCCTTTAATTATGTTTTGTTAATTGTGTATGTATAAACTAAATTTTGAAAATTGTTATGTTTCATTTTCTGAGATAGGCTGGAATATAGCCAGGAATTCTTGGCTATAAAAGTAATGTTGGAATAAAGATCATACTTGAGATTGATGTTTTGCTTTGAAGCATGCTAGTATCCTATTTATTTATTTTTTTAAGTTAAAAGAACTTAACAAACAAACAAAATTAGGATGCCTACAGGTTGTCAAAGGATGCCGAAGGACATATCTCCTGATACATAAGAACCCTGTTTGGGATTCTGGATATAAAGCTTTGCCTATACAGTTTGTAGTTTTAGAATCTTATTAGCACATTGTCACTTCATAGAACTGTCTGAGACAGCAGAATGAATAAAGCAATTCTGGCGGAGTGCTTTATTTTAAGGGGAAAAAAATGAAAGAATGCGTTTTCTTTTCCTCCAATACTTGCATTGCCTCATTTGCTATAAATTAATCTTCCCCAACTATTAGCATTCCAGCCTCTCTTCCTAATTTGTTATATCAAGACAGGTGAAAAGAGGCTATGAGTTAGGGAGTTTTAGTTCTTTATTTTCAGCTTTAAAAGATTCTTTCTACTGGATGGTTTGACAGTGATAAGTTTTCTCCACTGTTTTTCTCCATTAATAACTCTATAAAAGGGACTGTGTAATGAAGTCCAAAATATTGCAAATAATCATTGAGGTTATATTTTATAATTATTCTGTTGAATCAATTATTTGGATTGCATTTGATTTTACTTTCTCAAATTTCATTCATGGATTCATATTATGGATCTCACTATTTTGGATGGGACTCCTTCTATGTATGAGGACTGGGGAATTCATCTTTCCTAGAAAACATCCATTGATTCCCAGATTTTTAAACAATAACCTTCTAACTCTCTCTCAGTCACCTCACTTCATAGGATTATTGTTGTGGGGAAACAGGAGGAGGAAGGTGTCTTGGATATATTTACCACCTCGAGTTATCTCTAAAAATTATAAAGGCAGAATACAGATAGATAGATAGATAGATAGATAGATAGATAGATAGATAGATAGA